GATTTTAGTTAAGAAATAATACTAAATCAAAGAAAAATAACAAATTTCTACGTTATTTTAACAAAATAAAATTTTAACAAATTTTGCTTTCAGGTACATTTTTAATGTCGCTCAGTCTATTGTTCTCGAAATATTTAATTAATGTGTCTTGTTTTGTTTTTTGTAATATTTTTGAAAAACCACCATTTCAATTTTGACTAAGACAAATTTGTTTATAATTATCTAAATAACCTTGTGCAATATTAAACAACACTTAAAGAAATGTAAACTTATTTTTAAAAAATGTTCAGAATTACAGTCATCGGCCAACTATGATTTTTACAAATAAAAGAATTTTACTTTTAACAGTGCTTTTATTATGAATAAAAAATTTAACACTTTGGTCAAAGCAGTCTTGCACGATTTGGGTTATGTTCAACCTGAAATTTAATTGCAGTAGAAAAAAAAAATTTACGAAAATTTTCCGTTTTTTTTATTTTTTGCAAATTTAAACAAAACAAAAACTGAGTTTGCTATTTTTTAAATAATTTAACAAAATTTTCGTTAAATCGAAGAAAAATATTAAATTTCGAATTTCATTAAATAATACACGTTTAATTTCCATTAAAAAAATAAATTTTACATTAAAATTATACATTTTAAATAAAGTCAATTCTTGAAAATTTAATATAATTACACAGATTCATTATTTTATCAAATAGGTAAAAAAAAATTTTCTTTTAACAATGAGTTAGAAGTTGATTAAAAATTAACAAAAATTAATGTCCAGGTTTTGCAATTTCGGAATTTAAAGCAATTTTCTTAAATTTTTCAAAATAAGGCCGTTTTGGATTTTTTTTGCTTAAAATAACTTAAGTCTTAATTAACAAATATTAATTGAACTTAAAAGTCTCAACATAATCGAATATTTTGTTAAAAAATCAATGTATTTATTCATCAAAATTCAAAGAAAAATTATTATAAATTAAAACAAGCAAATTTAAGTGAAACAAACATGGGATTTGCCAAAATAAATTGAAAAAAACTTACTAAAAATTAGCAATGCTCAAATTTTGGTTTTCAGGTACATTTTTAATGTCGCTCAGTCTATTGTTCTAGAAATATRTAATTCATGTGTCTTGTTTTGTTT